ATAGATAGATAGATAGGATAAACATCAGATAAGAATGGCTTGGACTAGATTAGATTAGATTAGATTAGATTAGATAGATAGATATACATAATTTTTGGAGGACATCGATGCACATGTCGCAGCGGATGGGATATATATATATATATAAACATGTTGCATCATTTTGCTAGAAATGCCCGAGTCCCAAATGTATCAGGTAGACTCAAGCAGCTTCTACTAGCAGAGTGCAACATCGAAGGTTGTTGCCAAGTGTAAGAACTGCATTTCACCTTCGGAACATTACCGAATGAGTCTCTTGTCTGACAATGGCAGTTGGGAAATGGGTAACGTTTATGTTTTTATTAAATCATATCTGGTTGGTGGTTGACCTACCCCTCTGAAAAATGATGGAGTTCGTCAGTTGGGATAATGATGACATTCCTAACATATGGAAAGTCATAAAATTCATGTTCCAAACCACCAACCAGTTGGGTTATCTTTTTAAATCCCATTAACCCCTACTTTTCATGGTTAAAATCCCATTTTAACGTATTTTAACTACTATAATCATCAACCAACCAGGCAAAGCTCGGCTAGCCCTCTACCAGTTGGACTCTAGTGATTCAGAACTGCGGCTGGAGCACGTCATGATAGACAAGGATCATGAATAATGACGTAAACATCAAAAATAGGTAATAACTATAATCTATAATTGCCCATATTAACATCCATATTATATATATATATAAATACATATATATATACATATACATACATATCATGCTTTTAATAATCATGCATATATCAAGTCCGAGGTTAGCCATATTTACGTACAGCACCTCAAACAATCCAGCTGAGTTCTGCAGAGTTTCCAGCCTGCCTGGCGGTCATCTGCCCATGATGCCGGACGCTGCGCAGATCTAGACCATGTAGCCGCTTGTATAAACGTTTACATAGATGTGGAAAACAATCACCATGAATGTATTTTCCGAATGGGAAACCATGGCTTTTCCAGATCTATGTTCCTTTCTCGTTCCTAGGGATCCCTAGGGTATTGTATCCCTCCAGTGAAATGGGGCTCGATGAAACAAACAAAGCTATCGATCTTCGGTTTCAAATGCTGATGTGGCCGCAACAGATTGCACTGGAAAAATCAAGTCATCATCATCATATCAGAAGTGAACGTACCCCAGGGGCGATTTTTGTCTGACTTAACTGTGCAGTGTCTCCCACCAGGCAACATACACGACTCGCAGACCCCTGGGCAACCCAATGCGTTTGCATGATCCGTTGCTTTCAGAAGTCACAAAAAAAACAGAATCGAGGTCGTGAAGACCTACCCCAACACAAGAGACTGCTTCCCTCAGGGTTTCGAAAGGGTCAAACTTTCCAATCCCTTTGGCAGTTCATAAAGCTGCAGTGTCTAAAACTAGCTTATCAATTCAATCCTGCATTCAGAAACCCTGCTTGCTTAATTCAGGGTGTGCCAAAATTTCAAGTGATGGATCCTGTGGATATATTCCATTATCAATCATTAAGACTGGAATCCCCCAATTATAAAATAACCCAAAGGGTTACTGATCCTGGCAATTACACGAAGTACTCCAAGCATTTGAAACATGATCTACTCTTGGTCCCTATCCAAATCATCGAACACAAGAGTGATGACGCAATGTCTCTGAATGGTTTGGCTTTAATGGGACGTCAGTGATAGCTCGGTGAGACTTAAAAGTGAAGAACGCCTACATGCCTTGAAAAGAAATCTCAAGTTATCCGTTTGTGCACTCCTCAATTCTTTTGTCATCCCCTCCACTTGTTGGCAGAAAAGGGTTTTCACAGCGCATAAGCCTGTAATCCCAATCAAACCAGGTCGTACAACTACATATCAATCCCATGTAGCATCACCATCAACCCGGCAAAAATGATGAGTTGGCCCTATGGCCACTTTGCAGTTGGCATTTTGAGTGGACACATGCCGATGGAGAAACGAACGCATTTTTTGTCGCAGCACTAAGCTACCTCACTACACCCTGAAACTTGACATGGAACTTAACATCGCAATTTTTGATGCGAAACTGTAACTTATGCTCTTCCAATCCAAGACCATTGCCATCTTTGATTACCAAAGGGCATCTTCCGGCCCAAAATATGGTGGTTCCATGCTGGTTTTCAAGGAGGCGCACATCTTCCTAGCAGGTTGCTAGGCAATATCTGCGGGCCGAGAATCGAACTATAAAAACCGACTGGGTGCAGCAGTATGAACGGGTGCTTTCAAAGCAGGAAACGGGATTGTTAAATGCTTGTCTCAAAATGGGGCAATCCTCATTTTGATTTGCTGTTAGATTGTGAACATTCTGGTCCAACATGGTGTGGTAACATCCCATTTTCAAACACATGCAAGCGACTTCTTGTCAGGTCTGGTGCCACTTAATGACATTATCCATTGGTTGCGTTTGCAAGGGAAAAGTACGCACCCTTCCACTGGTCTATCAATCTGTCAAAGAAGTGGTGGGGAAAGGAAACCTATCATGGCAACCTTTATCAGAAAGGATTCAGAAAGCACCCATCCCACCCACCGCTCGTTGTAAATTTGACTTATTTGTATTGCGACAGCTATGAAGCCCGTTGCCTTCACATTAGTGATGCATCTGCGAGTGTACATGTGTATTTTTCGAAACCGAAAGGAGAACCATCCGAGGAAGTTGAAGGAAAACCTAACGGAATCCTTGCCACTTTGAGACAACACCAGTGACCAGTGATTTCTGGCAGATTTTCCCATGACCTTCTCTCTCTTCTATTAATAGATAGTACTAGAGCATTCACCAACAAATTGATGATCTGAACGGATAATTTTCCAACAGGTTAGACGACCAAAGAGCATAGAAGGTCGGCCCGAAATTCATCCCATTCATTCATGACACATAGCCTTAGGCATTCCCGTGTTTTGCTGAATGGGCCAAAAAAAACAACATCAAAACACTCTGAAAATGTAGTGCGCTCTCAGGTTATATCCATTTACTGAGGAATATCATGATTGGCCAATATGTTTGGACTATACTGGACTACAAAGACCTGGCACAAGCAAGTCCCAGCCGGTGATGCCTCCACATATTACATCTGAGTCATTTTGAGATCTGCAACTTTCCATTTCTGGACCTTTTCCCAGGCATTTGCACCGACCCCGAAATGTGAGAAATGTGAGCTCTCCTCTCCAGATTCTCCTTTCGTAGAGTGGGAACTCTGAGCTATCAATTGCCAGCCAAACATGCTCTGCATGGCGCTGTATGGCACAGTGTTCCCGCTGTTCCTGATGAATATCCTAGGATGACTGGTGTGACATAGAGGATTCCCATACTTCACTGGATTGGTTAAGGGAAAATTCAAAGGAAACCCATAGCCCATGGATTTGTAGCCAAATGCGCAGGGTTTTCTACAAACTGATCCTGCGTTTTCTACACATTCTGGGAATAAATCATAGTCATTACGTCTTAAACTGGTTGGTGGTTTTAACCATGTTGAAAAATATTAGTCAATGGGAAGGATTATCCCATACATATATAGATATATATATTATATATATTAAATTATGGAAAAACAAACATGTTTGAAACCACCAACCAGTAAACGATTTTGGATGTTTGCAATCCGATTCGGCTCGGAGACCACAAATCCAAATGATCTGAGGGGCCACGCAGGCTGACATACGCAGTTTCTGCTTCGTAGCACACTGGCTGCTATGTAGCAACTGCGCACACACACGCATATATATATACATACAATTATATACATATGTAGCATACTGCATGTATATATGTATACACGTGTAATACGTGTAATATATATATATATATATACACATGTATATATGCATATGATTGCATATGTATATGCACACCGTACATATATACAAAAGAACATATTTGTATGCATATCAATGTATAAACGCGTCGGCTGCAATATGATTATTGGGTTTCCAGAAGGAGAAGAAAACATGCACGTAGGACACCATGAAATTTTTCCTGACATCCTCAGAGGGACACACTTTGCAACACAAGTCTGCTCTTCATAGCTGGCTGTTGGACGTGGATGAGTATGTCTACGAAGATTCACCATAAACGAACCATGTACCATTTTTTTGGACTGCACCCTTACTGACCTTCACAACCCCCCAAAAAAAACTTGCGATTTAAAGCAAACTTTAACAAGGGGGTCTTGTCTGGGGGAATCTGAATCATCTAATTCGCAGTGGGGGTGACCGGAATGGGGGCCGCTTGAATCTCCAGAACTCAAGTCGACAAGGGCAAATAGGTGGACAGCCAAAAGGATAAGTGAAGGTCACCAGCTTTTGTCAACAAACCACTTCCTTTTTTTGCTCAGAAACAGCAGTATTCAAGCTTAAAAGGCCATGTCCATTTCCCCTTTCCAAGGGGAAAGTCGCATCATCTGCGACCCACGGAAAGCCTGGCAATTTGCCCGGTAAATGTCTGGAAAGACAGTGGTAAATGGCCATTAACGCCCCACCCCCCAAAAAAAAAAGGTGTTGAAGTGGGTTTCGCCTAAACGACATCACCGTGTCAGTGGCAGATCATCCTCAACTGTTTTGAGGTGGTTCGTCCAAGTCTTATGAAACGTTTACCACCCCCAAGTACAAGATGGACGGATATTCATGTAGCAAATACTTGGGAATCTGCATTGTTCATAGTGGAGAAAGGCTGGATTTCCAAAGAAAACAACCAGGCTGGCGGTCAAAACAAGCATATCTTCACACGGCTTGCCTGTGGGATGTATGTGACACATTGTGACACCATACTTGGTTGAAAAAACACATGTGTGTAGATGAGATGGTCGAAAGAATGAGAACGATGTACTGACAATCCTATTGGCTGAGTACTCAGAACTTCACATGCTGATCCTAAAGGTAATGAACATCTGCTACCATATGCATCCATATGCAACCATACAGTACATGTCTAACCTTAGGTACAGTACTGTGTCATACCGTGTCATGGTATGATAAGTTCAGCATATTTCAGCAAGCGCCACCCCCTCCCGCACAACAAACAGATTCTCCAATGAAAATGAAAGGACGTTCTCTGCAGCAGTGCAAAGACTCTTTCCAAACACCAGTGACGAGATTGCCAATGGCGCTGTTGGGGCACCCAGTTCTCGACCGGCCAACTGTTGGGTCTGATGTCTCAGTACCCCTGAGTTGACTCGACCACGAGAGCAGCTTGCCCTGCTAAACGTCAAAGAAACATATTCACCGTTCGAAAGGCTATAAGCAGCGGCAGTGTGCATGCCCCATGCCATCTGTCGATTTGGCTCACGCCCTGCAACATGTTCACATCCAAAGCAGCGACTGGCGGTTGATTCATGGAATTACATGGAATTACTATATGATGATGGTTTTGAGTATATTTTTTCATGAATAATATGATTAATATGACAATGCGTGGTTCAATCAACGGTGAATTAATTACTCACCATCAACGACGGCGATGAATAATGATGACTGATGACCTGAACGTTAATGGGAGTACATTCCCTAACAAAAAAAGAAAGCATCATTTATTGTTTTTAAATGTGTTTAAAACATTGCAGCAATGAATGGGCTTTGGCCCCGCCTAATTAAATAGGAACATGATGGAACATGGGTTGAATGTTTGGATTCATCATGACTCCATCATGGACTTTCAACAGCAATCTTCCCGAACCCATTCTAACCGCTAACCTCTAGAACTGAGGTTCCCTGTGGGATAGCCTCACATCTACTGGCATGCTGAGGACAGGTCGTTTCGGAGGCCCACTGTGCACTGTTTACCCTCGGAAGCCTCTAAAACGTTTGCATGAAAACCGCATCCAAATTTTCAGTTCCAGGAGAAAAATGTTCTAGGCAACTCCCCCTCTCTCTCATCCCCATCAATTAGTTCCGTTGTTTTGGGGGTTTTCAACCGGGCCCGGAAAGCCTGGTTCATTTTCAATCCTCCAAGTCATCTGGTTGGCGTAGAGACGAACTGCTTGTGGCGCTCATGATTTTGCTGGAACTTCGCATGGGGCTTTGTGCTGCTGCACCTGTATTCACCTCACTGGAGCAAGAACCTTGCCAAAAACCTGGCCAGACATTGCTGGATTTTGGAAGCTGCTACTGAACCAGGTGGACCATATGCCGCCCAGTCGCATAGAAGTGCCGCTGCACCAAATGATGTGCATAGCGGGAGAAGAAAATGTGCCCCATGATGGCACCGCCAATCACGATTCCCACCAAAGGAATGATACCCAAGAAACAGCCTGTCACAAGCACGGGGCAGCACTAAAAACTCAACAAAGGCAAGGATTACATATGTTACATAGGAACGAAAGGTGCAACAAAACCTTGAGGCCATCATCTTGACCATGATTTGCAGGGAATTTGCACCCTCCTCAATGTTTAGTCAAAAAATGGGACGTCTCCTGATTGAAAAGGAAACGCAGGAAACGCCGCAAACACGGGACACATTGCATGTTCCTTGAATGTTCCATGCAACAGGATTGGAACCAACCGTTTACCAAATGTTGTTGCGAAAACATGTGGCAGCTTAGCATCATAGATGCGGAAACTCGTCGGATCTCGCAGGATCAACTCTACAGTTGTCAAGCTGAGTAACTGCATGTAACTGCACCATTCGAAACAACAACACCTTGCCGAAAATCTGTGAACATGACCAACAAAAATATACAAAAATCATCAAAAATCAGTGCTCACCCCCCCATCATTTCATTTTCATTCATTTTCCTGGTTGATAGATAGGGTTTCCCATAATATCCCATAATCATGATCGTCCCTCCAACATATGTCGGAGAATGTCATCCACATATGCGGCGGCACGTTGGGCGCACCTGTAGCTGGCCAACTAGCAACACCAAAGGCTATGCCCAAGACCCAAAAGCAGCCACCAGCGATGACTAAAAGGTACCGCGTGGAGGTGTCCTGCACCGTAAGGTTCACCTAAAAACACTGGCACTTCAACTGGTTACATGTTGAACTAATTATAACTAATTTGAGCAATGTGGTTTAAATAAGTCCTGATTTACATCTCCACATTGTTTCTCGATGGTTCATAAATATAATATAACTAATATTATTGCCATGCATATTTACCATAGATTTCTGATCCCAACTCTTAGGTTGCTGGTTTCACCACCCTGAAAAAATATATTAATGGGGATCATCATTACAGGCATTTTTTTTTGGGGCTCCAAGAGTTCCAATTTCTGGGCAGCAGCGACTGGCACCACATTTTCCGGCCAAGGGTCTCGTGAAAAAAAACGGCTAGACGGCTAGACGGCTTGTTGTTTAAATAGCCATGCCCTGTGGTCATTTACTATATCGAAATTCACAATTTGTAGATGTCATTCATAACCAGGTAGAATTTTCACACTTTCTAGATGATTCATCTCATGGCAATCCATGGCAAGTGTCGGCAACATCTGGATGATCACGGTAGCGAAAAAGCAATCGAGAAAATCCACCAGTAAAATTTGGTGGTTTCAATGAACCCCCACTTCACTCACTATTCAAGATCATCGCATCGCCGGAAATGACAGTACTTCAATTCAAGATTGGTGAAGTGTATATCCATTATAATTAGTGGTATACCGATGAGTGGGGTGGTGCCCTATTGTGGAAAGTCTTTTCGAAAAAAGGTCAGTCTCTTGGTATTGGGGGGGATGGTACCCTATTGTGGAGAGTTTCTTCTCAGACCCAATTTGTTCAGGAGGCAAAAAGTAGAATTGAAATCCTTACTAATCCTTAGATTTTTGAAGGTTGAAAAGGACAATCAATTGAACGTCGATTCAAATGAATTGAACCCCTTACTATTTAATCCTTACCTTTTTTGTTTAAAAAGGAAAATCAAGTGAAATTAGCCTGGCATCAATTGCAGTCTTTACTTCAATTGATCATCCTGAGTTCCGCAGACATGGTCCCTCCAAAAATGACTCCTTAAAGGCTATACCATAGTTGTTTGGGGGGGCCTGATATGCCCTGATCATCCAAGAAATTATATCAAATTATCCCCATCATACCCTCCGCAAAAAAAATAAAAACATAGCAATATATGGCAACGGAAAGTCCCATTCATGGTATTTATATTTTATTTTAGTTGATTTTCAAAAAAAACACATCCAGCTATATCCAGCTATAGTTCGGGGATTTGCCAGCGACTCTAGCGACTGAACTTGATGTTCCAGAGGGGTATATATATATATATTCCGCAACCATCCATTGAATATTCCCTTAATATTCCATTGCCATTAACCTGATATATATATATATATCATAAACCATACTTAACCACAGTTAATAAACGATATATATATATATATATATATCATAAACCATACTTAACCACAGTTAATAAACGTCTCATTATTATCCCTGTTAAACCATTTAAAACCACATGTTTCCATCATTTTCTGTTAACCACCATGCTTAACCATGGTTAACCACCCTGAAAACATCACGGCGATGCGGCGTCCATGAGTCGCTGGAGCAAGTCTTCAGCCACCACGAAATCGCGCACGTGACCGTTACGGTAGATGACGTCCACCTCCGCGTTGCGGGGAAGGACGGTGGTGCCGATTGTTCTAGCGAAGTTGGTGAACATCATGGGATTTAATAGATGTTAATCGTGATTTAATGGGAATTTCATGGGATTTTATATGGTGATTGAATGGCTATTAATGGGATATACCCTCTGGTTTTATCTATAACATAGCTATGGAAAACGACTTTTATTTACTTCTAGATGCGAACACTCACACACACATATATATAATACACTGTAATATATAATATACTGTAATATATATATATATACACGATATATATATATACGCAATTTGTGATGCTTTACCTGTTGAAAATCGTGATATTCCATAGCAACGTTAAACTAGCAAAAGGGTAAAACAAACACATATACAGTATTTCATATACATACATAATTAAAACTGATTTATGTTTTTATATTATTATTATTATTATTGTGGATTTCTGGAAGGTATAAATTGAAGTAAAACATATACTCTCATCAACTTTAGTCACATCAGGTGACTGGAAACATGTATTCCCGCAAGGCACGAGCCGATGCGACTGGGTCACATCAGGGTCACACCAACCCCCTGTTTACAATGCACCCCACATCATATGGTGAATTAAATGCCAATCTGCAGCTGACCTTATCTGAGTACATCATTCAACAACCAGTTGTTGGAGCGGTTGGCTGATGAATACAAAGGATTTACACATCATGAGTAAATTACAATTTCTCACTAACCTGAATGCAGGCTATGTTGCGCCTACACCTCATTTTTCCGCTGGCTCATGTGAGTGATGTCACGACAGCTTGCCTAGTTCAACAAGCAGAACATGCGAGAACATGTGCATTGCCACACCTTCATTCAATTGCCGAGCTTTCTTGTTCTGGAGGCTAGCATCAACAATTCGATCAGCTTCAATTGATAGTTGATTGTGATTGTTAACATCCCACCCCAACCCACTTCAACCCCATCATCACCGTAGCATAAACATTGAGATCAACTTTAATTGAACCTTAATATCCCACTCCACCCTACCCCACCCCATTATATTCATAGATATATTTGGAAAAAAGAAGCGCAAGATAACATTTGAGAAACACGGAAAAAAACTAGGAAAAAATACGGAAATACAGAAAATCACCAGGCTATTTATCAACACGCCTCCTGAAATAAGGCAATCATCTGATTATTCACATCATCCCAGCGAGGTCGCAGTGAGGTCGTTATGATTTAAAATACTTTACCCCGGTACATCCAGATACTCTCCATTGGAATTTTCATGGTTTCCATCCGTGATCTTGGGGAGTCTCCAAGCAGTCCGGCGCCTCTTGACCCACTTTGACCTTGCTCCAAAAGGAGGGCTGGGAGCCGCATTTGGAGCGCACAGGAACAGGTCCATCGTCGGACTGCGCGATGAAGTCGATTGTGATGGAAAAGCTGGGGCCTGGGCACTTTTTTGTGTCTGAAAATAGGGGGATCAACCCTTAGATTTCGATGACTTTTCCTGGGCATCCTCCAAAATCCGCCAAACTCCAGGCCCCAACTGCCATCCTTTGCCAAAACACCGCCGACGTTTTCGTGATTGTGTTTCCTTGGGTCCCCGTCGAGATGGGGAGAAAAGCGGCTGCTTCAGTTCTCAAGGGGCCGTTTCAAAAATTGGAACTGGCGCTTGGGCTGGTACCCTGGTTAAAAAATGGTTAAAACATGTTCCTTCCAACGCGGACGTTGCTCCACACTTGCAATTATCATCATCATCATCATCAACATCATCATCATCATCGGCATCAGTGTCAACTCATGTGGAATGGGGTAATACCATCAAATTGTATGTCTTATATGCAGAAGGGATCATACACCGCCACACCCTCTGACAATGCCTTCTTTGAGTGATCACCACCGTGGTAGATATTGTGAAATGATGTGAACTGTATTTTAACATTCTATCTGACATATATTCTGACATTTTATCTCGCATTTTACATGTTTTTTTGTTTTTTTCTGACATTCTATCTGATATTCTTTAAAAGGCATGCTTTCTGGCATTTGGTCTGGCATTTCATCTGACATTTTGTCTGGCATCCTATTATATATACATATACACACATAAAATACAGTTTGCTCATTTATATATCTATAATATTACATATAATGACATTCCATCTTACATAGTCTTACATTTACTGTATCTATATTTATCTGGCGTTCTAGTTCATCTGGAGATTTACCATGATTTACCTGGCATGGTGCTCACACTGTTCGGGTGCGGGGAGCCCCTAGAGAGCTGGCGAGGGAGTGGGTGAGGTGTCCGGGATATTCCGGGATGACCTGGATGCCCTGGCAGGTGGGGGTTGACAACAATGAACGGTGGAGGACTCATATGGGGCGGTTTGTTTTCTTTTCTTGGGGGATGTCCGGGATGGCTGTCATGGCTGTCATTGTTGTTGAGCCTTTGTCCAGAGAAACAAATTCCATTTCTGAGTCCAAATCGAAACACGTGACATAAGCGAGAAGGCGGCTCAACAGTGACCGCTGTTAAGAAAACAGCTGTTCACCATCAAGACAAGGGCAGGTCAAGGTCCCAAAATGAATAAAGATGATTCGTCGAAGTGGCCCTCTAAATTTGGTGATGTCTTTCGAGGGTCCCGAGTTTTGGAGAGTTACGCCATACCATTTCCAAAGTTCGAACATCCATGGCAGCCACGATTCTCTTTAATGGTGCCATGGCAGCGCCGCATCTCTTCATTTTCCTCGTCCAGAAACTCCTCAGGGTTTCGCCAAGGGTTGAAGCTTGGATGAACTCGCAGCTGACTCTGGTTATATGGCCATGAGTCAAAGCCCTGGTACCCTAGGTACCCCAAAAAAACGCTGGCTTATGGATGTTTATTGCCCTAAATATTGTAATAGTAGGCTTTGACCCAGCCCCACATATATATAATAGTGTAATGGCCGCTAAATATCGCCTGACATACACTTAGAACATCACACGTTTTCCAAATGCAAAACAAAAACGCACACTTAGAAGATGAAAAAAATGGATGTTCAAAGTGTATCACTTAGAAAATCAACATCAAGAATCCAACAATTAGAACATCGAAACATTGAAAACATGATAACACACTTAGAACATGCTGTTTGACGTGCTAACTTTGGTCTGATGTTCTAAGTGACTCTCCGCTTGAGGAAAACTGATAGAAAAATAGAACAAACTTACCTGCACATACATCCCAGGAGATTTCCAAGACATTCTTTTCTCCTCTTGCGCGGTCTAGATCTTAAAACAAAACCTTTGGGATGTTCTAAGTCTCTAAGTGTATACTCTGCCACCTACCTGTGGGCATCATTAAAAATTGCACTACAGTTTTTCAAGCAAATAGACCTACAGTATATGTTGAGATGTTCTAAATGTATACTCTGCCACCTGCCTGCGGGCATCCTAGAAGCAAAGAATATCATTGGTTTTTGAACCTAGTGGAGTCTGTGCAAAAGCCTTCACAAGAATAAGAACTGAATTACGCTTCTAGATCGTTCAAACCATAATCTGAGATGTTCCAAGTGTATACTCTGCCACCTACCTGTGGGCATCCTAAAAATCAAGAATATATAATATATAGGCTTTTCAGTGAAATGGAGTCTTTGCATAAGCCTTTAAGATTAATAACTGAATCACATATCTAGATCTCTAAAAGCACACATTGGGATGTTGTAAGTGTAGATGGTACCACTGCCACCTACCAATGGGTATCTTAGAAAACCAAGACTATCATTGATGAAAACCTGGTTTGTCCCACACATTCTGTTCTATGCACATCAAAGCTTAAACAACTGGTTTGAAACATTCCTATACTCAACTGCGCTTTTGACTGCATTGCAAAATTGCCTTCTCCACTACTTTTACTGGAACGGACATACATGCACTTAGACCATCGCCATGCGCACAACTGAGGTTTAAGTGTATATATAGGTATTTGGTATGTTCTAAGTCTCTTTATGAAAACATACACACACACTTTGAACTTTGCAGCATATTTTTGGATATGCGTTTTGCAAATGATGTTCTAAGTTCTAAGTGTTTGTCCGTCGCAATAAATGCAGTTGATTATTAGAATGGATTGCTGTAGATGATACGGGTTCGTGTATCCTCAGCTAGCTCGATAATCTGAAACAAGGCGGGCATGGTCGGATAAAACAAAATACAAATCACATTCCACTGGAACGCTGCTAAAATAGGCTAAAGACCTACTTCAGTTTGCTCAGTACGTGGGCTGCTACTAAATGCTTTTTCTTTCAGTCACAACATCAGCTTTCGCTTATTTTTGCTGTCAAGAAGCAACAGCTTTTTAGCTTTGCGTGTCGCTGTGATTCTATGTGATTTTACACATGGTTTCCCGAAAAGGAACATGATTTTTAACGCATCCCTCAAAAATCCGACTGGGATTTACAAACATGAACCACTTCTGGAGAAATATGTGCTGTAACGTTGCTAAAGCAATGTAAGAAACCACCATAAACTACCCATATAAATTGAAGTTTCAAAAACTGGTCCTAAAAATGGTACAGCGTTTTTCTAACTATTGCTTTACTATGCTTTACTACGGTAACATCATGCTTCGTGGTGCCTAAGGCACACATCTCTCTGGGTCGGGCAGCCGTCCAAATCCATGGGATGCATGGCATGGGGATGGTATGGTGCCTATCTGGTGGTTGACCTACCCCTCTGAAAAATGATGGACTTCGTCAAATGGGAAAAATTAGTGTTCCCAATATATGGAAAAATCATCCAAATGTTCCAAACCACCAACCAGCTATGAGTATCTGAATGCAAACATAACAAAGCATGTTTTTGCAAGTCCGTATGAGTATGAACTCTATGAGACTCTACGGGGATATCTAAGGATGAATGAGGTTGTTATTTATATTGCATGTATCTCTGTATATATATCCAGAACATTCCAGAACAAAAAGATACAAAAAGCCCCCACCAGGCCATCTCAGAGCAAGTCTTCTTGTTGGATCTCTACCAGCATTCCTGAAATTCTCCAAGTTTCTGCCGCCCAGAGTTCTTGAGAGCGATTGCTCAAGCAACAGCATGGCAATGCAGCAGCTAACCTTCGGAGAAAAACTGCACCACACTTTCGCAAAAAAAAAGTTCGGTGGCTACTACATAGTCACACGAACCTTCCAACGTATTTTGGCAAACGCATTTCAAAGCATGGTGTCCGCCAAAAAACCTAAAACATGATGTTTTATAGCAACAATTGGAAGCATTTCTATGACCAAAGCTGCATAGCTTCGCCAAGCTGCAGGCCCCCAATGATGCCTAGCACTAGGGATACCACCTGAGACGGACATTCTGTGCCAATCATGGGAGCAGCAGTGGGCCTAGTTATTTTGGGAAATTCCAAGAGATTTTCCACACAATTTGGGTAATGCTGGTCATCGGGTTGGGCATTTTGGGCGATCCATGGCGATCCCATCTCCTGATCAAATCGCAGTCAAATACCTGCTAGGCTCCCAAGTGATGAATAGATTCAAGACTATACCAGAGTTGTTTTAAGGGTGGTCTTTTGTTTTTCTAATGCTTGGGGGACGGATTGCAAAATTCATGAACCCATTCAATCTTTTGGGTCTATCATTTCGCAGCATATATATATAATTATATATATATATATTATAATCTTTAACAAGGTAGGTAGTACCATTAGTGGCATTACATCTACCCTCCATTTCTGGCAACAAGCACAAGGCATTATCATCATTCAACATCGTTCGACATCATGCAACTACCCAACCAAGGACCACCACCCCAAACCACAAGCTGACCCATGGTGGACAAAATGATCACCTCAAAATCATAGATGTGATGTGGGAATTGGCTGCCGGAGATTACCAAAAGGGACAACACACATGCAAAGGAATAGCCTCCAGAGAAATTTCCTCATGCCCCTGCTATCGATAGTTGTATTTGAGCCAGGCATGTTTGAGTTACTTGAGGATGAATGTCATCCATGGAAATATGATAATGATATTGCTATTTTTTGGGGATTCTGGAAATGTCCTCCGGATATTCAGGAACAACACATGACAATTCACTCTTCAGCAGGCATCTGTTCAAATCCAATATGCTTTTGATTAGGGAATATACTTCAAAAAACAAATCCCTGGATGAATGACCGGAACATCCCCCAGAAAATAAAGTAGAAACAGCTTTCCTCTTCACCATGATGATGTTCCGTTGCCAAGTTTCTGTTCTACTTTACTATCCAGTTCCCAGAATGGGGAGTTTCACCAATTGTAAAGAACTAAGCCGACAAGAACAAAACACTGATACTTGCAAGAGCAAGTTAAGACGCATACAGTGTGTGTCAGTCTGGAAGCGAACATTCTTGACCAGGAGGTGTTCATCAACAAACATCAGGACCTTCACCGCAAAATATCCGCAGTTTCAGCACTTCAGCTTGGGATCTTCAACCACAACAGGCAGTTTTTGCCAAACAAAACAATATGGAATAAAACGATTGGTGCAAAGAATTCTTCAGGTTTGTGGCAGTTAGATACCCCAATCATATTCAATACCCTCAACCTATGGCGCCCCGATTCATGGATAGATGCAGTACAGTACATTTGTTCCGGGTTTCCATTCAATATGATCTTACAGGTATATGTTGATTTTAGATGATTTTAGGATTGTTAGGCCATGTCAAAAACACATTTTCCATGTTTAACCTCGCTTAACTTTATAGAGGTTGCCAGCTGAACTTGTCATAAGGGGTTCAGAATGCCAATCCATAGGGGGTGCTCTCTGTCATGCAGAGTGGTTGGCAGAATTCATGCACCACCCTGTATGATGCCACTACCACGGTTTTTCACTTTCTAATTCTTAAAAAACGATTCTGTATTTTTATGTACTATGTTTATAGCACTTCCCAAACACAATAGAAAAGTACTTTGCTACTATTGTAGGATTTTACCAACTTCAATTTTTTTCGGGGTATTGCTACAAAAACTAAGCCCTTCAACCTTGACCTTGACCTCAGAGCTTGAGCCAAGCCGCAACGTTCAGACCGTCGGCACAGCCCAAGGTGATATCTAATGACCCATCCTAGGACGGGTCGCGCGGTGCCGAAAAAAAAGGTCCTTGCGGTGGGTCAGTAGCTGCCTATGGTCACTGTAGGGGTACTGTATCCAGAAAATGAGTTTATCTATCCAAACCATGAGTATATATAACTGCTTTGTTTCGCGTTGTTTGGGGAGGTCAGTACCTGGTTTTGGAGGTAGAGTTTGGGGATATATCATGATACTAGTATATCATGATATATCACATGTGGCTGATATTGAATACAATATGTACCTCAGACTCCAGACTGTTCTTCAAACTGAAAATCAAACCACCTACCAAACCAAAGGTCCAGGGACTCCACAGCCCAGTCATGGAAAAAGGATGCATATTGTTTCCAAATGCATATTGTGTATGTGTTTCCAGGATGCATATTGTTTCCAAATCATAAGGATTTACAATCAAGAAACACATGTGTATTCCAAGTAAATCCTAGGGATCTTTTCTTTGCATTGCTATCTCGGACTGTAGCTATTGAATAGCTATAAACTTATACACATGCAATTTCCCTTCTGTACTGAATGTAGATCATTTTCCGAACAAGAAAAACATGCTTTTCCAAATCGTTGTAGACCCGTTTACCCGTTTACCCAAGTGTAATGTCTAGAGATGTCTAGAGTATCCAAATGATTCCAAATGTATACAGGCCATTGCAGGCCTACGTGCGAAATCTACTACCCGAAATCGACCTGAGCCTCTGAGCCCCGAACCCCTGCGCAGGTGCCATTTGGACATGGTATCTGGGCTGCCAGGCAGGGACAGCCCTGCAACGAGTGGTGTGGATTTTTCAAAAAATCTCGAAATGTGTGCAACTCTTTCCAAATCCATCCATCTCATAATTGATGTTGATTTGGGGTTATTATTAAATTTGTTATTGATGTTACTAAATGACACAGATGGAACATGGGCGAAAAGAGATTGAATCAATGGGGGCCATGCCATCGAACAAATAAATGAATCCAGCAGTGTCATGTTGCCTACCGCCAAAGCTGTCACGAAATTTTCGGGTGGTGTCGAATTCATTTTGGGGTTGTTAAGCCGAGTTAAGCCACCATTTCAAGGGTAAGAAAAACGACAAACCACGTCATGTGGGGTCCCTTTGAATGGCCCCAGTCATTTGGGGTGGGGATAATCAAAAACATATCAAAAACATTCAAAAACCAATTTATAGCTATTTTGGGGACAACCTTCGAATTAGAACCTTCGGGATTTTTCATACATGGGGGTTGTCCAAAATACCTTTTCCCGGACAGCCCTCAATCGCTCAGCCAATCGCGTAGCAACCGCGGTACCACAGTGAGCAATCGCGGAAGGGTTTGTTCTTCGTTGATCAGATCATATACATAAAATATAAGTTATGTATTATATAATGAGGATCCATGCGTGAACGCATTCGATTTCAAATTTGGGAACAAAATAAGCTCGCGCGGTCCGGAAACGGTCCGGAAAACTCACAGTAGTACCAGCAGCAGTAGTACTAGTAGTACTAGTAGTACTAGTAGTACTAGTAGTACTAGTAGTACTAGTCGTAGTAGTCGTCGTAGTAGTAGTAGTAGTAGTAGTAGGAGGGGTAAGAGTAGGAGTAGGAGTAGGAGTAGGAATAGGAGAAGGAGTTCTAGTAGCAGGGCAAGGGAAGAAAGGGAGAGGGAGGGAAAGAGAGAAAGAGAGAGAGAGAGGGAGGGAGGGGGAAACAGATGGTTGCGTTTGACCGGTTTCTGACGGGTTTCTGACTGGTTTCTGACTGGTTTCTGACTTTCTGACCCTGACCCTTCAGCGGAACTCGTGTCAATTGGATTTAAAAGCAAGAGCAGAAATTCCTAGGTGTACTAGTGGTAGTGGTGGTGCATGGTGGTGCAGTAACAGCGGGTGTGGTGGTAGTACTAAGAGTAGTAGCAAATCTAGTCGTGGGAGTAAGGATCCATGCGTGAACGCATTCGATTTCAAATTTGGAAGCAAAATAAGCTTGCGCGGTCCGGAAACGGTCCGGAAAACTCACAGTAGTACCAGCAGCAGTAGTACTAGTAGTACAGTAGCTAGTAGTACACTAGCAGTAGTGGTAGTAGGAATAGCAATAGGAGTAGGAATTCTAGTAGGGGCAGGGAAGAGGGAGAGGGAGGGAAAGAGAGAAAGAGAGAGAGAGAGAGAGGGAGGGAGGGGGGAAACAGATGGTTGCGTTTGGCCGGTTTCTGACGGGTTTCTGACTGGTTTCTGACTGGTTTCTGACCCTTCAGCCGGACTCGTGTCAATTGGAATTAAAAGCAAAGGCAGAAATTCCTAGGTGTACTAGTGGTAGTGGTGGTGCAGTAGCAGCGGGTGTGGTGGTAGTACTAAGAGTAGTAGCAAGTCTAGTAATGAGAGTAAGGATCCATGCGTGAACGCATTCGATTTCAAATTTGGGAGCAAAATAAGCTTGTGCGGTCCGGAAACGGTCCGGAAACTCACAGTGCACTAGCAGTAGCAGTAGCACTAGCAGTAGTGGTAGTGGAAATTGGAATAGGAGTAGGCGTAGGAGTTCTGGTAGGAGGGTGAGGGAATAGGCAAGGGAGAGAGAGAGAGAGGTTGCGTTTGGCCGGTTTCTGACTGGTTTCTGACTATTTCTGACCCTTCCGTGGAACTTCTGTCAAGTGGAGAAAAGCAAAGGCAAAAATTCCTCGGTGTAGTAGTGGTAGCGGCGTTGCAGTGGTAGCGGCGCTAGTGGTAATACTGAGAGTAGTAGCAACACTAGTAGAAGGATCCGCCCATGAACGCATTCGTTTTCATATTTGAAAAGAAAAGAAAATTGCGCGGTCCGGAAACGGTCCGGAAAACTCACAGTAGTACCAGTAGTAGGAGTAGGAGTAGGAGTAGGAGTAGAAGTAGGAGTAGGAGTAGGAGTAGGAGTAGTAGTGGGAGTAGTAGTGGGAGTAGTAGTAGTAGTAGTAGTAGTAGCAGTAGTAGCAGTAGTAGTAGCAGTAGTAGTAGTAGTAGCAGGAGTAGTAGTAGTAGTAGTAGTAGTCGTAGTAGTCGTAGTAGTCGTAGTAGTCGTAGTAGTACTAGTAGTACTAGTAGTACTAGTAGTACTAGTAGTACTAGTAGTACTAGTAGTACTAGTAGTACTAGTAGTACTAGCAGTACTAGTAGTAAAAGTAGTACGAGTAGTAGTAGTAGTAGTAGCAGTAGTAGTAGTAGTATTAGTAGCAATGATAAGAGCTGAGGTGGATGGATGGATGGATGGATGGATGGGATGCTAGGCAAGTGCTGCCTTTTTGGTGTTTCTGACCTGTTTCTGACCTGTTTCTGACCTGTTTTCAATTGGAGCTAGCTTGAATGTCCTTCTGACCTGAAAACATCTGCGCGGATTCCGCGCGCACGGATTCATGTCAATTATTGGCATGGTTCTGGTCTCGAAAGTAGTAGTAGTAGTAGTAGTAGTAGTAGTAGTAGTAGGGTGGTAGCCGTATAACCAATCGCCAACCAATCGCTCAGCCTATCGCGATGCAGGTTTTAGCAATCGCGCAAAGCAAAGTAAACGCATCAATTCATAAATTTGTGACCTGCTTTTACGGACGGCTCCCACATGTTCATAGCCTTTCCCATCAGCGCTTCGCACTTCAGCCACGAATTCCAAGCCACACAGTAGGACTCAAAGTTTCCCAGGTGTTCATTTGAGCATCCAGGTTCTAGTGCACACTCCGCTTGAGTGCATGTTCCGCCTGAGCCATCTGCGGTTGGTCATGATGAAGTCGTTGGCTTCGCCATGCAATGGGATTTTTCATCATGCGAGGAACCATCAGCATAGTATATCTCATTGTCATTGTCATTATTATTAGTTTTTTAATGAAGATATAAAAATGTATATATATTTATATATATAATTATATATATATAAGTATATATATATATAATTATATATATATGATTCTACTTACGTAATTCTATTTGATTCTATTTGTATATTGTGGCCAGAAGCTCTGAATTTTGAAGCCCCAGGATATGAAAATTCACCAGGAGACATTCCGAAGGGCCGCAAGGGATGGCCACTGCGAGGCACACAAGGCTGCTTACGGTTAATCTCCAAAGCATGAACCAACCTGTGGCGGAAAAAAACACGGCTTTTTTAATGGGATTGGCAAAAGATGGACCCCCAAAAGATCTCCCAAAAGCATAATTCAAATATATTCTAGAATCTTATAGATTGCCTACTTGGTGGTGGATCTACCGATAGGAGACTCTGAGAAAGACCTAAGCACAGATCGCTTATTCCTGGTGGTGATTTCAGGGAAACATCATCGAGGGCGGGAGGTCAAGGGAGGCCCCAAACCAGGGCCTCCCGAACAACCACGGCCAGCAT